ATGAAGTAACCATGAAGACATGATGAACTCATGATTAACGCATGATGAAGACATGATAACTCATGATGAAGTAACGATGAAGACATGATAACTCATGATGAAGTAACCATGAACTCATGATTAACGCATGATGAAGACATGATGAATTTCAGCCTGTGAACAGTCTGGATCTCCTGCAGAAAGTGTCAGCAGGTCGATTCTTAATTAAAAATTGATATTCAGGTCAACTGAAAAAATAAAGACGTGTTTATTAAATTCATGTCAACAAGTGTTGCCCTATTTGTTTTACGGGGGGAAAAAAAACAAATTCAGAAGTCCTTTAATTAATTTTGTTTATTGACCATTTTTATTATTCTCATTGATTAACATGCTTCGTTTTGTCGCTGTAGTCTGAAATAAAATGTTTCTACAATGTAAATGATAAAATTCATAAAATATATTTTGACAAACTAAATAAATGTATTTTCTGCATTCAAACAGTCTGTACCAAACCTTTATGAGTGAGAAAAGAAAAATTGAGAGACAATTGATGTTTGCATTGATATAACAAGAAAACTTGTATAAAGAAAATGAAAACTCTAAAATAAAAATAATCAGTTGATCAGTGTCGCATCACAACTAGAAACTCAAAGTTACAAACTAAAATAAAAATATAAAATTAGTTCGGTTGACAAAACTCAGCAGAGTCTCCGTGAACCCTAACTCCAGCGTGGAGCGGCTGAGTGAACGTGGTCTGGACTCTGTGGAGGAGAGTCCTGGTTTCAGAGACTCTGTAGAAGGACAGAACACCGGCTCTGTGGTCCAGGTACACTCCGATCCTGGAGGAACCAGGACCTGAGATGGAGGTTTTGATGTTGTTGTGCCAAAATCTAAAACTGTCTGGAGAACAACACAAAGCCCATGATTTGTCATTCCATCCAAATCCTGACTGAACTCCTGTTCTGCTGATATTCTTGTATGTGACTGCTACATCAGCAGCTGATCCTCTCCACTCCACCTCCCAGTAACAACGACCAGTCAGACTGTCTCTGCTCAGAACCTGCCAACAGTTAATGAATCTGTGTGAATGATCAGAATAAGACTGAGGTTGATTTATTCTTGTAACTTTTCTGTTCTCCTCTGACAGAAACAGATATTTATTTGCTGTGTTTGGATCCAGTGTGATGTCACATGAATATTTTAAGAATCCAGCTCTGCTCCTTGGTTCTGGTTCTGACAGTAAAACGTCCACCTCAGAGACAGTCAGTGAGATGTTTGTCCATGTGTCTCTCAGGGTGTCCTGCAGTTTGTCTCTGAGCTCCTCCACAGCTGCTGTCACGTCCTCAAAGTATCCCAGATGACGGATGTTGAAGCTGGATGAGTGTGGAGACTCACCCAGTACTGACACTGACTGGTAGTTGTGGAGAAACTGGTTGTGGTCCTCTGTGTGTGAGAGCTGCTTCAGCTCAGCATCTTTCCTCTTCAGCTCGGTGATCTCCTGCTCCAGCTTCTCTTGAAGTTCCAAGACTCGACCCACTTCAGTTTCCTGCTGGGATCTGATCTGCTGCTTCACATCAGAGCTTCTTGTCTGGATGAGACGGATCAGCTGAGTGAAGATCTCCTCACTGTCCTCCACTGTTCTATCAGCAGAGTGATGGATGGCCTCCACCTCCTGCTGAAGCAGCTCCACATCTTTCTCTCTGTCCTGGATCTCCTGCTGGATTGTCTCTCGTCTCACCTCGAGCTCGCTCTGCCTCTCGGTCCTCTCCGCTGCAGCTGAGACTGTGTCATGGCCTCTATGTTCATCCACAGGGCAGAGATAACAGATACACTTCTGATCAGTACGGCAGAACATCTTCATCACCTCATTATGACGAGAGCAGATGTTCTCCTGGAGGTTCTTGGAGGGCTCCACCAGCTTGTGTTTCTGAAATGGAGCTGAATCATAATGAGGCTGAAGGTGTTTCTCACAGTAAGAGACCAGACAGACCAAACAGGACTTGATGGCTTTCAGTTTTCTTCCAGAGCAGACATCACAGGCCACATCTTCAGGTCCAGCATAGCTGAGATCAGCAGGAGCAGCTTGGAGTCCAGTCTTCTTCAGCTGCTCTACCAGGACAGATAACATGATGTTTTTCTCCAGGACAGGCCTCGGTGTGAATGTTTTCCTGCACTGAGGGCAGCTGTGCATTCCTTTCTGATCCTCTTCATCCCAGTGGGTTTTAATACAGCTCATGCAGTAGCTGTGTCCACAGGGAACAGTCACCGGATCCTTCAGTAGATCCAAACAGATCGAACAGGAGAACGTTTCTGGGTCCAGCTGATCTCCTTTCTGCGCCATTTTATGTTTTAGTCAGCCTCTGTGTGAGTTCTTCAGAAGTGAAACTAGTCTGAACTTTGGAAATCACGTGTCTGTGCAGAGAGAATGAAGCCAATCAGCTCCAACATGCAGCCCTGTTGGTGACACCCACCTGAAGAGGGAACAAGGAGATATGAGGACAGACTGCATGGAGCTGCTGTGTTTTTATTTTTTTAAGAGGCTAAAACCAATATTAATCTGTCAAACAGAACCATATTCTTATCATGAAAATGTTGAACTAAGTCACAAATCCAAAGAGAAATGGAGCCTTTTTGTCAGATTGGTTTGGTTTACAGCCGCAGATGTCTCCCCCTGCTGGACAAAAGGTAGAATGCAGTTAAAAATGACCAACACCTCTAAAACTGGAGGGAACAAGGACAGAAGAGGCAGTGATTTGAGAAACACATGTCCTCTAAAACATCAGCTGCTCAGTTTATCTTTGAATATGTGTAAAGAAACTTGCTTTTTTTTTTTTTTATCTCTCCGTTTATTACAAAATGTTTTGTGACTGACAACCATTTTATCTTCATTCTTGTTGTCTGCTTTTGCAGAGTTTGTGTTTCCAATCAGACTGTTTAATGGATAACACTGATATTAAGTCAAAGCAGCTTTATGATCAAGTCAGTGTAAATAAATTCTGTTTATTCACCGAATATTCCCTCATCGGCCCACTCTGAGCCAACAAAAATATTCTGCCATGTTTCTTTTACAGCTCAGTGGCAACAAACCCCGTTAGATACTAAACAAATCGGAATTTATTCAATTGATTTTTGCAGGTTTGGAGGACAGGCTGTGTGTTGGGAAGCAAAAGGAAAAGACGAGGAAGTGCTGTAAGAAAGCACAGTCTATTTCTGTCTGGCCACAAAAGCTGCAGAGCAAGCTGCAGCGGAAGCATTTATAAACCTATTTTTTTTAGGATATAGTATTAGTTGTAGATACGTATAATGCAGTGATAAAGTACAATATTATATCCTAAAAAACTGGGTTGACAACAAATGATAATTGTGCTTACAAGGTAGTATAACTTAGTCTGAAATGTCTAATATAACAACTCTAGATGAAATATATAGGTGAACAGATTTGGCAAGAAACTGGTCAGTTTTGTCTCTTTATCACCCTTAACTAATGCATAATAAGCAGTTATTAATGATTTATAAAGTGTTTATAGAGGAATTAATAACATATCAATAAACTATTTATTAGCCGTCTACAATTGTAAAGTGGTACCCTATTTTTATATAGTTCTATCATATTTAGTTACTGCAGTACCAGAAAACAACCTCCACCATCATTAACATCAGAGGGTACATTTTGTCCCGTGATGATTGGACGCACATCGTTCAAGAAGAGGTCTTTGTATGTGTCCTCTCTCCACACAGGCCATCATTCCACAAAAAAAAACTTCAGCCCAGACATTTAAAATGGTTACAATTAGACCAAAGTTCATGCTCAATAATCCAGGTATAAAATCCAACAATGTTCAGTCAGGTCATCTGGACTGTTTCTTTTTTAAGATGATGTTTCGTCCTTCATCCAAAGGACTTCTTCGATCTGAGGAGCCATCAAACAAACTGATTCCCACAACAACAGCATACTCCATAGTGGGGGAAAAAAAAAACAGCTTGCTGATGCTAAGTAATGGTGTTACAATGAGGTTAAACGTTCATGCTTCCTGGCAGTAGTGTTGTTCTCCTTGTTCTTTATCCACAGTCTCGTTTGATTTCAGTTGAAATGATCCTCAATGTTGCTCCAGGTCTGCTTGAGGGATTTTAATCGTCTAACAGCATTCTCTGAAAACAGCATTTTAAAATAGTTTTATTACCACAGCTGTTATAATAGTTGATGCTTTTACAAGAAAAAAAACAAAAAAACTGCAAATTACATTTAAATGTTAAGATCCCAAACAAGCTGAGGAGGTGAGGATGGTGTGTGAGAAGATGATGGATGAGGCCGACCTGGACGTCTTTCACTCGAAGACTTCCAGCACGTGATTGTCAGAGCCCTGGACTTCCTCAGGTAAACCAGCGGTGGTAGAATATGTTATCAGTGATTAGATCTAATGACATGTATTTGTTTTGGTTCACATTACATAAGGATTTAAGGAATTCATTTAGACCAAAAGACCAACTGAAAATCCTGACATCTTTACACACCAACATTTTGTTCAAGCTTTTAGAAAAACAGCTTTATTTTGGTAAGTTCTTGGAGCACAATGGACTTAAACTCAACCAGGAGCAGCAGTTTATTTAAATCTACAGAAACGAAGCAGACGATCAGCAGGTGGAGGCCCGACTCGATTAAAACAGGCATCACCGAGGATCAGCCGCAGATTTGTTTAGTATCCAACAGGGTTTGTTTCCACTGAGCTGTAAAAGAAACATGGCAGAATATTTTGGTGGCTCACATGGGCCGACCGTGATGTAGCGCGACGTCAAATGGAAGCTCTTAAGTCAATATAAACACTGAAACAAACAAGTTTTATCCTTTTTTTTATTATTAATTAAACCAAAAGTACACATATTTACAAATTGTGGATACATTTTATATTGGTTTAGAAAGTACAGTACAGTTTAGGTACTTATTTGTCCCAGTTTTATCAACTCCCCATGCCCCACCCCAACCTTCACAACAGACAGAATGCAAATATGGCTGTTAAAAGATATGTTTATTAAAACTCGATAGGAATTTAAAGATATGTAAAAAGCAAAATATGCATTTTTCCAGGAGATATTGATACAGATTCAGTTCTGCACATCTGGTTCCTATGCTAGACTTCAACCTGCTGTCACTCAAACAAGAGAACAGCCATGTTTCAGTCCATTTCTGCTATTGGAAAAAAAAAAAAGGCTTCATGATGCTAAACTAAAGCTGAGGCAGTTTACAAACGACTGTGTCCTCTCTTCTTTCGGCTCAGTGACACAAAGCAACAAAAGCTCGCACGTTCGCCTGTACACGCAGACACGTTTGTGTGAAATTGCACAAATACGCACAGGTCCAACACTCACAAAGCACAGCTCAGCCATGACGCAACAGAACTGATGTTTAAAACGAACGGTCACGGTAGCAATGAGGTCCAAAACTGTGAACACAAAACTCAAGATTTTCAGTCAAAGCGACAAAACGTGAGGGGAAAAAACAAGACGGAAACAAAACGTGAGACATCTTGGAACATGGCAGATTTAATTCCACCCTGGTTTGTCTTCTGAAAATAAAAATACTGACACAAATTGACATTTGGATGAGTACGTAGGAGGCGTTTAGCATCAAACTCGAGGGCTACAAATATTACTGGAAACTAAAATACTTCACATGAACAGAATCGTATAAGTCACACTTCAATTTGGCAGACTGTAGCTTAGACACTGAAGCTTAAAACTTAGATAATCTATATGTATACACTCTGATAATATCAGTTTACATAAATTGGAAGCAACACTTCAAAGTGAACAGTAGAAAACAGCAGGAGAGGTCCCGTCATTGAGACGGAGGTGGTGTCAAGTCATGCATTGCAAAGACTGAAACGGTTTTGTTTGATTGTGAACCTGTCTCCTCTCACACTAGGATTTCTGGATAAAGTGCTTGGAGAGCAGAGATTACAGCGAGACCCTTCAGGTTTGAATTCTTTTAACAACCAGAGACGTCATTCAGCTTGTACTAAATCTGATAAGTGTAAAACAAGGTTCTTATTTTGTGAATTTGCTTTGATTTCCAGGTTTTAAGGCCCTTTTTGTCAGCCGAGTGCAAACATACAAACGTTCCACAGATAAATTGTTACATCCCGACCTTTTTACGCCATTTAATCGCTAAATCTTTACTCAAATACTGACGCTCCAGCTACTTTAGCTGATAGGAATAAGCTGGCAGCAGTGATGCAACGTTACTGTTTATTTCTTTGAAGCCTTCAGATTCAGTCATAAATTTAGTAGTTTTATCTAGAGTTTTGCTTTAAATTTGCACAAATTGGATTTTTTTTTTTTTATATATTTTTACTTTTTCCAAAGTTAAAACACAAACTGGTAACAACAAAATGTTAAAAAATTAAACCCAATGCTACTTCAGAGACCTTCAAACCACAAACTGCTCAGCTGACCTTGAGACAGCAGGGCAGACAAAATACGGACCATAATGCATTGCAACGCTGCTTCTTTTTTTAACACGGTGAAAACACTTGAGAGGCAGTGATGAGGGCAGGACGAAACACATTTTTCAGTCACATTAAATGATTGTCAACAACTACACACAGACCAGCGGGACGAACTCAACCTAACTACTGATGGACTTCAGATTTGTTGATGTGGTTCTCAGCTGCTGATGTTAAAATGAATAAAAGTGCAACTGTTTCACTGGAGTTCAAGCCATCAGCCTCTGGTTGACTTTTATAACAGAAAAAAAGGGGGGAAGCTCTGTTAAAAATAAATCTAAGCATCACACTTCCAAAATATTACTATAATAAACGCTTTTTATAAATCACTGTTGTGCTACCAGTTATGTAAAATATGAGTACAGAACAAAGACATTAAGAAAATATAAGGTCATTTTGAGTGAAATAGAACATTTGGATCAAACTTTGTGCCGATTCTTTAGCCAGCTAAGCACTCGGACTCATGAAGTCAACTGGTCCTCTTAAAATGGAAGAGATGGGAGTCCTGGAAGCTTTAGAACAGGAAGAGAGGAGGGGAAGTCCTCCATTTATGGACAATAGTGGTTTTTGCAGGTTTGGAGGACCGGCTGTGTGTTGGGAAGCAAAAGGAAAAGACGAGGAAGTGCTGTAAGAAAGCACAGTCTATTTCTGTCTGGCCACGAAAGCTGGGATCCTCAGAGCAAGCTGCAGCGGAAGAAGCTGGTCTTTTTCTGAGGCTCGGAGATTTTAACTCCGTGACTGCTGCTCTGAGGCGTGTTGGCTTCCTGCAGCAGACCAAGAAAGACAGGTATTTGTATGCATGTCCAAAAGTGAGTATAACAGTCAAACAATGAATGGAATAACTGTTGGTTGTCCAAAACGAATACAGTATATTGTTCTTTTAAAAATACTAAAAGAAATGTAGTCCAAAATGTCTTTTCTCACCATTTTTGAGTCCATTTTCGACTTGATGTCTCTGGCAAGAGTCAAAAACGCCTGTGAAACCAAATAAATCAAAAAACTTGTTATTTTTCCTAACAGTAGCAGTTTGAAATAGTTGGTATTACAGTAGTCCCTCGATTATTACGGGGGATCCGTACCCTGAAGCCTGGCGATAAGTGAACAACGAAGTAGGAATAGTAGTACAAGTAGGAAGTAGCTTATTTTAGTATTTATACATAAAAATATAAAAAGTGTTTTAAACCCTTCGCACACTCTTGCAATATTCTAAACGTTTCTAAGCTCTAAACGCTCTAAAAAAGCACAGAATGTCATGATTTCAGCTCTCTGCCTCTGCTGCACTCTCAGCCACGCCCATTTCTCAGCTCTTTGCGGAGATCAGCTGATCAGCTGCAGGAGGAAGCTTCTCCCACAGCTGTGGGCTGCACACAAGTGCTAAATCATTTAAAATAATTGATTTTAAATTAAAAAATCCATGCCGATGGTGCAGCTCATCCATCAGCCAGCCATTGTGTGTCTTACTTTGAAAAACCGTGATAGAGCGAGTCAGTGGAAAAACGAACCGCGAAGTAGTGACTTTGTTCAGATTTGATCAGTCACACATGAAAGCAGTTTACTGTCAGATTAGTGGAAATAGTACGTGTCTGAAAGGGGCTCTAAATTAAATATAACACGGGATGGTTTTATTACATTAATGTAAATGACTAAATAAAAAGTCAAGAACAGGTTTTCTTTAAGAAGGAGTGACTCACATTTTCCACATTGATGTTGGACTTGGCGCTGGTCTCCATGAACTTGATCCCATACTCTAGTGCAAGCTAAAACAATAATTTATGAAATTGTATTTTATTAGCAATAAAGTGCTCGTCTTACATCAGTACCAAGAAAAACCTTTATACATCCAAGTTCTCACCTTCTCCCCTCTCTCTTTGGACACCTGCCTCTTGTCATTAATGTCACATTTATTGCCAAGAACCATCTTCTCAACATCCGCTGATGCATGCTAAATGAAGGAAGATGTTAAATGTTGCGCGGAACAACAGAAGCTTATAATGTACTGTAGCAATCACGTAAAGAAAGTTACATTTGTAGCACTACATACTTCCTCTATATTCCTTATCCAGTTCTTGATATTTTCAAAGGACTTCTCATTTGTGATGTCGTAGACGAGCATGATGCCCTGTGAAAAACAGACAATTATATGTTTTACAATAAATATAACTTAAGAGAACAGTTTCAAAAGAAAGTTTTGTTGGTTTGGACAAATCATCACCATTGCGCCTCTGTAGTACGCTGTTGTGATTGTTCTGAAGCGCTCCTGACCGGCTGTATCCCTGAAAGAGTGCAGTACATGGGGGTTAAAATATACAGTATGTATGAAAAACAGTTGGTGGGAACCATCCTATAGATTTCAACAATGCATTTAGGTTAAAAGAGGAAAATATGAAGTAGTTGGTTTATGTTGAATAGACATAAAGCAAACCTTTCATTAGTAAAAAAAAAAATAAGAAGAATGTATTGGCTCAATCATATGAAATTATGTTAATTAAAAGGGAAAAGACAAATAAACCCATAGACTGTTCTTATGTTATAGAGGGTAAAGCGTGTAACTTTGTACAGAGGAGAAGAAGCTGGTTTATCTGCACATTTTCTGACTTCTTCCTCTGGTCCGCACACTGCTGCCTTTGTGTTCAAAACACTAATAAAAGGTTATTGTTCAAAATGTATGTAGCAACGTCTCGCATTCTAAGCGTCTGTAAAACTCTGCACAAGACCTGAAATTCCAAGTCCATCCTGTTTTACTCTTGGACTCCTGACATGCTTGCAGTGTCTCAGTGCTGCATTTAAAACTATAATCACATCAAGGAAGTTTCATAATCTTTAACATTATTTCCACTGACAGTGCTTTAATTATGGCCATGTATCGATTTGGGTATTCGTGTGTAAAAGCTTGGTATTTTTTCTTGTAGACTTTTATCTGCACATCTACATCTGTGCACGTATTTGTTTAAAAGATGAACATTTCATTACAAAATCAGTGACTCCATGTTTTGAGTAATAAGTTGTTTTTTTATGCTTATGTATTTATGAATTGTTGCATATTTTTTGCACAAACAACTAAATGAACACATTCCAAAAAGTATTAAAACAATATTTTTTCAGCCAAAAGTAAGCCACAAAGTAAATGCATTCTTAGGTTAACAAGTTATTTTATTGCAGAAGGCAAAACGTTTAGTTATGAATATAAAATCAGTTGTTAAAACTTTATTTTATCATATTTAAGAACTCTTAATGTATCTTTTTTAAGGGTTTTGTAGCACCTCATGTTAGGAAGACTGTGTGCCACGTCCACTGTACTTGTACAGCATTAAATAAAACCGGCCCTGATGCAATTTATTTTTGCAGCATTCATTAAAAGACAAACAAACAAAAAAACTCTTACCATATCTGTAACTTTATCTTCTTCCCGTCGAGCTCTATCGTCCTAATCTTGAAATCTATGCCTGCAGGAAATAACTCGGGGTTATGATTTTGATACCGGAAGCGACCAAATACAAAAACTGATTCCACAATAATAAAAGAGAATACGCTTAAAGATAGTAACCGAACAGCAAACTCTAGGAGGGCAAGTATTAAAGTGAAACAACGTGTTTATTTACAGGATTAGCCAACTATAATGTGGGTTTTCCCCGGTTGCCTTTCCAGCAAGTAGACGCATCCGCAGAGGCAGTCCATCTGCTCTGTTAACACACAAAACGATAGTTTACATTACACCGAAAACACGTACCTATTGTCGAAATAAACGTCGAGTTGAAGGCGTCTTCTGAAAACCTGAAGAGGACACAGGTTTTCCCGACACCAGAATCCCCGATTAACAGTAATTTGAACAAATAGTCGTACGTTTTCGCCATACTTGATATTATTGCGGAAATCCCGCCCGGCGAAGACAGGATGTAGAAGAACCAAAATGGCGCCCCCTGCTGGCCGAGTCTTTTTATTATTTTTTTTAATTTTTTATTGACAATAAAAGTGTTAACAAAATTGCAAAATTAATATCAACATTATAAAACAAAATGAACAAGACAATAATGCCAGGGGGTTATAAAGCGAACACAAATACATACATACTCACATTTAAAATAAAAAATAAGTCACAAAGTGCTGAAGTGGGTCCACATATCACTTGTTTTAATGGCTTTACTATTGTTTGAATACTGAAGTGTTCGGATATATTGTTTGAATTCCTCTTTAAAGACCAAAAAAAAAAAAAAAAAAAAAGGTTTCTGATTTGAGAATTTAGATTTATGTATATGATATTTTGCAACTAATAAAACTAGGTTGATAATATAATGGTTTGTTTTATTAGTGGGATAGGAGAATAATCCAAACAGTACATCTACATAAGTAAGGGAAAAGTCAAAAATAATATTTTGGGAAATAAAAGTGCAAATATCTTGCCAGAAAGTGCATAAAGGACATGACCAGAATAAATGACAGAGATCTTCTTCACAGAGTTGGCAGAATGAGCCGTTCATGTCAATGTCCTTTTTGTATCGTTGAAGGAAAGACTTGCAGGGATAAAAACGATGGGTAATATTAAAGGATACTTCTTTGATCGTATTGATAACCAAATATTTAGAAGGAAGGCACCAGATTTTTTTCCAGTTCAGGTCTGATACAAGGTTATTCCAATAAGAGACACTATTTGGAACAGAGACCATGTCCTTGTAGAATAAGGCACGTATATCACGGTTGTTTTTTTTTTGTCTTTTTAGTGGAAAAACAGATTTGACCAATACTAGAGTCAGCAGGGTTCAAACTTGGTGGAGTCACTAAAGAAGTTATAGAGGACCTAAGAAGCATTATAACACCAGACGGGATAGCGTCAAAAACAAACGCATATTCCTTTGGTGGTATAGGAATGCCAAATTTGCTTATAAATCCAGAATAAGACAATAGAACACCATTAGGATTAAATATGCTGGCCTAGTCTGCACATGCAGCTCAGCGCCATGATGACGTCACCGATAAACTATGAGAAGAAAGGTTTTTGTACTTTTTGTAAGGTAATTTTTTTTATTCTAATAGAGGTTATATTTCATAACTCTAAAAATGTTCTTTACTCATCACACTCATTAACCAAAAAAAAAAAAAAAAAAATAGATGTACTTTATTACTTGTGAAAATAAAAAAACACTACAAAATAAAATGCTTCAATTTAATTAAGTTTTTTTTTCTCCTCCAAAGGTTACTGTTGCATCCTTTCTTCTGAAAATGTTGAACAAATCATGTTTTTTGTCGTAGTATGTATATAAATATTTCTATTCAGTGCCCTGAGATGACTTCTGTTGTGACTTGGCGCTATATAGATAACCTGAATTGCATTGAACTGTAATTTTGGTAAATTCATGATCGAGCGACAAAGCTATAATGTCCATTAGACTTTTACAGATATAATGCGTTTACTCAAAGTCAGTATTTTGTGGTACTAAGTCATGTTTACTTGCAGGTCTTTGCCTCTAATTGACTTTTATAATTTTCATTTGTGTATATTTTCCGTACCATCACTGACTATGGCCTCCTTATCCAACGATATTAGAAATTGTTCTTAAGTTTGTTTCATCTTTGCATTCGCTTTTATCTACTTATTCTACCACAGACACCCGATGTATTTGGGCATGTAGTACTTGGATTTTCACATTCATTGGTGTCTGAAAAGATCCTAAAACTGTGGGACTATGACCAGAAGTTTCCTAATTTCCATAATCCAGAAGTCCATATGTTTAAGTAAAGAGTAAAATCAACATTGGATTTTTACAGATTATTCAGAATTCCAAAACCTCATACCTTTTTAACTCCTTTTCTGACAACCAGTCCACACTTGAAGTGGTTTTACTGACACTGGGTAACACATAGTCCTCTAAAAATGTTTCCATAATCTTATTTTAATGTAGTTTTTTCATGTTTAGGGATTACAATATTAAAGACATCAAAGTTGACCCACAGTACAATCACCCTCCACCATTTTTAACTGTAGACAGGACATTTTGTCCCCTGCAATGATTGGATGCACCACTTTCAATATTTTTTAGGTGTCCTCTGTCCACATAGGACATCGTTCCACAAAAACTTTAGCCCATAAATAAAAACAGTTAAAATTAGGGTTAATCTTTATTGCTTCATGTCAATAGTGTTGTCCTCCTCGTTCTTTATCCACAGCCTCAGTTGGCATCAGTTGAAATTGTCTTCCACGTTGCTCCAGGTCAGCTTCAAGGCCTTCAGATGTCTGGTACAAACTGTTTTTACATTTCAGTGCTTGCTTCCAAAAACATTCATTCACATCGCCAAATCTAGCACCAGATAAGAATTATATTGTGATTATCTTGACTGTGTGGTGCTGCAAAAAAATCAGGTTGCAGAATGTTGTAGCTGAACTAAACTACACTAATGCAGTCGTTTAAGAGGTTAGTCTTGATAGCTTGTGCTGTTTGAAACATTTTCTTGTTTGAACTGGGGGTAAATGTATTTGCAATGACAAAATCATAAATCAGTGCCATTTCAGTTGTGGGAGCTAAGATTACGTAACTCCAACAGCATGTCAGTCTCTTACAGAAAACACAATGCATGTTCATGCATGTAAACTCCCTGTGAGCTTTCTCAGTTTTTCTACTTCACTGCCTCGGGGTCACAGAAAGAAAAGTGCAGAACAGCACCTTCACAGAAAGGACAAGCATCATCATCAGCAGCGACAGTATCGAGACGGGCATCATCATGAGCTTTATTTGTGCTCTCAGTTTGGTCTAAAACACAATTTCTAGCACCAATACTGAAATTGTTTGGACCCAAAACCATAAAAAAAAAGAAAAAGAAACATAAATACATAAATGGGCTACATGTGTTTAACAAAGGTAGGCGTGAAATTACAAGAATGGATGGCATGGTGTAGAAAAAAAATCTCTTACAAAAAACAAAGTTTGTTTCTCCGTTTACTCGATGTTCTGTTTGATGTTTTACAAGCTGTTGAGCTCCTGCAGAGTTTGGTCCAGGACTTGGTGCATTCTTACGTTTTCCTCTTTCGCTTGCGAGAGGCTCTCTGCAATAAAAACGGAGCAGCAGATGGAAAATGTAACACAACTTGTCAGAACAGACGAATTAATCTGCAAAGTGTTGAGACGTGAGGCGTTAAAGCAACAGTTCAGATCTTTTAAAGCGGGGTTCTGTGGAAAGGTTTTGAACAAATAATATCTTACCTGTTTTAGACAGCTCTTTGAACATTCAGTTTGGAGAAACCGTTTAATTCTTACCAGACTGGTGAGCTAACAGCTTGTCGAGTCACTAAGATTTTATGAATGCTATTTCAGGAACTGTTATGCCTCCTTAAATTTTACATCGTTTTTTTTCCTCACATTTTTTTGCAAGCTTGGGGCACTTCCTGTGGGAAAATCATATATACCGTATTTTCTGGCGTATAAGTCGCATCAGTCAAAAAAGCATCACGAAGAGGGAAAAATAAACATATAAGTTGCTTCTGTGTATAAGTTGCATTTATTTTGCATCACCGCTGAACCCCTAAGTTTATTATGCGCTTATTAAATGGTCAAAACAGCTTCATTTCGCCTGGGCAGCGCGGTGCCATCCATCCATCCACCAATATATCATCCATCCATCCATCCACCAATATATCATCTATCCATCCATCCATCCACCAATATATCATCCATCCATCCATCCATCCATCCATCCATCCATCCATCCATCCATCCATCCATCCGGGTCTGAGCCACTAGCTTTCCAGCATTCCTCCGTCTCCACCAGCTGATTGAAGTGAGCGTGCATGGGAGGACTCGTTGTTGCAGTTCTTAAAAATTTAAAGCATCAGTCAAAAATTGCATTATGAATATGGAAATAAAAATAAAATGTATATAAGTCGCTTCAGCGTATAAGTCGCAGAACTGATAAATCTATGCAAAAAACGGCAACTTATACACCAGAAATTACGGTACATCTACTGGACTAACTGTAATGCGAAACTGAAAACATACAGGTTCATTAAATGTTTTTGTGAGCTAATTTGACTTTAATTATTGGAGTAGCTTTAAGATGGCAGCCGTCCACTTTGGATCACTTTAGTCTTTGGTTTCATACCAGAGCGGGTCAGAATTAAACTCTGCTCCTTCCTACAGAGGTTGTTCAAATCTTTAACAGGTTAAGTATTATTAGTTCATAACTTTTCTGCAAAGCCTCACTTTAAAAGATCGTAAACATCATTGTGATAAAAAATAACAATAATCCAGTGGAATATATGCACAGGTAATTCTGGCCTTCTTGTAGACAGAAGACAGAAAACGGAGGCGTAAAAGAGTTTTTATTGTGCTTCAGTTCAGCGCAAAACAAGCAGAAAGTAGTGAGAGGGAAAAAGGGAAGAGGCAAAGTTTTTCTAAGAAAAGAGAGACAAACGGGGAGTAAAGACAAGATGAGCTTCACAAGGTGTTCATATCATTGAGGGCATGATCCAGCTCCTCGCTGATAGCCTTGTATTTCAGCTTCTGCGTGTACAACTCGTCTGCAGGCCGGAAGGCAGAGAAAGGAGGATGAAACGGTTCAGAGAAGAAGTGCAGGCCGAGGAAAAGGAGAAAAGACAAAGGAATGAAAATTAAACATCAGCTTTAGGAATGACTGAAACAAATGCTCAGTAAAGAAGAATGGATTGTGACAAAGACTTGAAGGAAAGTGTACCTTCTAGGTCATCTATGGTCTTTTCGAGCTTCGCCACTGTCCTTTCAGCAAATTCTGCACGAGTTTCCGCCTTTTACAAAAGAAACACATGAATCATCTAGACACGGACTAAAAGAGTACAATCATCTTAAAAAAAAAAGGTATATTTACGTCCTTAAGTCTGTCATTCAGGACTTTAATCTCCTCTTCATACTTGTCTTCTTTCTCAGAGTACTAAACAAAAAGGAGCAAGAAAATAATTTCACTACTACCAAATATATTTTATATCTTTTATAAAGTGATCTGAGTGTAAAGGTGTAAGCTGGGAGGAGCTTTACCTTATCAGACTGAGCCTCTAGAGACTTCAGGTTGTTGGTGACGTTTTTCAGCTCTTCCTCCAGGTCGTTGCACTTCCTGCAGGTGAAATTCACGCCGTACATTTATAACAATTGAATAAAACCTGCCAGCGACTTAGTTTTCTCATCGCGACTGTGCTTACGTCTCAGCGATTTCTGCCCGCTCTTCTGCCCTCTCCAGGTCCCCTTCGAGGATCACCAGCTTGCGAGCAACCTGCCATCACAAAGATGCGTTACAGACGAGCAAAAATATAAAAAAAAAATAACGCCAGAGCTGTTTGAAAGAACTGGGAATCAGCTGATCTCTGGGTCTGTACCTCCTCATATTTGCGGTCGGCCTCCTCGGCGATGTGTTTGGCCTCTTTGAGCTGCATTTCCTGAATCTCCATCTTCTCCTCGTCTTTCATGGCTCTGTTCTCGATGACCTTCATGCCTCTGAAGACGAGAATGATACACAACCTTTAGTTCTACAGCCATAGCCTATTGAAGCAATAAAACTTGTAGACTTGTTAAGACTTCACTTTCATTGTAAACATAAAATAAAATCAGGTTAGCAATGACGCTAAGATAAACTACTTTGATCCATTAACTTGCCTCAATAATTTCAGTGAAAATGTGAAAGATTCAAGACTATTCTGTTACATTCCTTTGCTTTGGTTCTGATGCTCTTTGCAATGCAGACTGGTTCAGATCAAAATGGTACTACCGTATTTTGCGCTGCATACAAGTCGCAGTTTTTTTGCATAATTTGCAAGCCCTGCGAATTATACGTCCAAGCGACGTATTTATGTTTTTTTCTCCCATATTTATAAATCAATTTTTGGTTGAGAGATGACCGTTTTCATTCACTCTGACAGAAAATATTGACCACTACCATTTCCAGCCACTAGATGGCACCAGAGTTGTTTCCTATTTCTGATTTCCTCCCTGTCTGCGCACAGAGGCAGCGAATACTTTTGAAATTCAGCTGATTTGACCGTCAAGTTCAACTGAGACACACCTTTACTATAAAGCTGAGCAAACAAATAATTGTTTTTAGGTGGTTATCTTGTTAAATTTAAAAGTTATGCACAGCGAGTCGCCCTATGCACCTTCCTATTTCGGCGTATTGCAGCTGATTTGACCGTCAAAGTGTGTTGTCAGCGATGACACATAATGCAGTAGACTTATACGGCGAAGAGACATATTTATGAATTTTTCCATTTAATTAGATATATTTGGACTGATCCAACTTATAGGGAGGTGTGTGACGTTTACGGTAGTTAAGGATATGTGTGGCGCTTCAACATCAGGAGTAAACTCTTTAATAAATGCTTCTGGATTGTCACCTTTCACTCTCATCTGCTGCCTTCTCAGCCTCCTCCAGTTTCTGCAGGGCTGTGGCCAGTCTCTCCTGAGCTCGGTCCAGTTCCTCCTCCACCAGCTGGATGCGTCGGTTCAGGGATGCCACTTCGCCCTCCGCCTTTAGCCACACAAAGGGAGAATGACAGAGAGAGAGGTCGGAGGTCAGTCAAGAAAGATTAAAGCGGAAGGATATAACTTTAAATGCAGGATATATGTTAAATATATGGTGATGAATACCAGATTTACAATCAACTGTTCAAAATGTTGAGCGTAAACTGTTTTTAAGATTTTTGTGATACGGTTACATGTTTAAAAAAAAAAAAAAGCTTTAAAGCTCATGAAAATGTATGAGCAGATGAGAATTAGTGATGCTCAGTGGGTTTTATGTGCAACATAGCTCAGTTGTGCCACCAGAAAAAGGGAAAAAACTCAATTTTAGGATGCAACTACGCATATTTTTTATGTTTTAAATACTGCACAGCAGGAACTTTAAGCACTTTTAGGACTCCCAGGAATCAGCATGTTCAGGGCCTCGCCCTTCGTTGTCACTTGGCTTGCATCACACCCAACCTTGACGGCTCTCGCTGCAGGTGGCAGCTCCTTGAGCTTGGCCCTGCGAAGCCCCAGGACAACAGGCAAGTTCCACTCTCTAGGTCTGGCTACAGAAGGGGGCCCCGGTTTCACCTTTCCAGGTGAGGATTCCTGTGTCCCCCTCAAAAGGAGTCAGTTGAAGTGATTTGTGCATTTGATTAGGAGGACTCCTGGGACGCCGCCCTATGGAGGTGTTGGACCCTCCACGAGGGGTGTTGTTAGGGAGAGTGATGTCTGAGTTTCACACTACTTGAGAATTTCTTTGATGGATTTTTATTGTTATTCTTAACACTGAAACTAAAACCACCCTCATTCTGGGCCCTTAACCCCCCCCATCTGCTCCCAAACAGGTCTCTCATCCTCGTTACTCAGTGAAACCTGCAGCCTCCATGACCTGACCAGGGATGAATTGTCAAGAGTCTACACCTGAATATTATAAGTTGTTATTGAGTCAGCGCACTAAGGCAGCACAATATAAGAAAAACATGGGGTATTATTATAATGACATCTGTTGTAATACAATTACTTCTTCCATCTGTCCTATCACAGTAATCGTAACACTTTTCATGGTCTTTAGAATCACAAGTACTACCATCAAAACCAGGCATCAAGACCTTTCAAGATCCACTGGTTTGGGAACTTTATTACCATTATGCTTGTAATATCTATGATTTATTGAAGTCTAAACAGTCTATTGGGACATTAATATAATATTGAGTGCATTAATATTTCAATCCTAATAAGATTTTTTTACTTTGTGCATCACGGCACTGATAACTGATCACAGAATGTTAGGTTTAATGAACGCAAATCATTTCATTTATAATAAAGCAACTCAGTGGGATGTTTGCACATAAATACTGTAAATGTTTGCTCCCAGTTGTGGACTCGGTAAAATGCACCTTATTTGTGCAACTTTTGATAAAATTCCAGATCTGAAGTCATGTTCATGCCAACAGCCTGACTGATTTGTCCTGACTTGCAGACGGAGGCCTGATCTGCACAGATTCAAGATTTCATTACTTGCATTAAAAAAATGGTCTAAAAAATTTTTCCCGATGAGAAACCAACTGGGAGGAGTTGTGGGGTTCAGTTTGTTGCTCAAGAGCAATCCGAGGATTGACTGAGCTGCCCCTGATCGGCCATGAATCATCCCTGCTCTCCTTTCCTTATGGCGGCTCTCGGTTTCACCTTTAGCAGCCGGAACAACCTGTGGACTTTGCAGCCTGAGCAGACAGTTTGAAAATGTGCTGACAGTGGGAGGAAAAAAAAAAAAACGCGAGAGACAATTTAACCCTGAAAACCCTGAAATGTCACAGCTGGCTCCTGTTTCCTGAAGGGTTGAAATCCCAGATAACCATGTCTGTTCTCTTCTTCCTGTGTGCTGAAGAGGAGGAGGAGGAGGATTAGAGCTCCCTTCAGAAAGGCTTTTGAGTCAAAAGGTATAAGACTCAAAGTGAAACAGAGACTTCTCGTTGTTTGAAACTGTTGCTATAGTGAATTAAAGGTCTAGCATTCCTCAAAGTAATGCCCATTTCCTGTCGACATCCATGATAGTTTTAATTCAAGATGGCCGTCACAGCCATATCTCATTAATGCTCGGAGTATGTGTTTAGGATGACTCTCAGTTACGACTACTCAAAATTTTAGCTCCATATCAGTAAACATAATTGAGTTTTAGCCATTTTTGTGCAGGCTATTGTCGATTGGCTGTGGAGGCCATCTTGAATTGGAGTGACTCCAAAATTCAAAGAGTTGTAGATATGCATACAGTAATTGGGTTCTGAGAGTTTTATTAAAATCAGATGAGAGGTGTGTGAGATATTTTACTAACAGACAAACCAAGATGTTAACATTTGGAGCAAAAGTTTTAGATGAATATCTTGCGTAACGTGTAGAGCTCAGAGGACGCGTTGGGGACGACTCCCAGCTACCTCCACACCAAACCTGAGCTCAACATCTGTAAAATTGACAGAGTTGTAGCAATTTATGTGTTAGCTAAAGTCCCTTAGCTGTGGCGGCCATCTTGAATGGGTCTGGCTCCAAAAAGTTCAACAGTT